CCCGCCCGCCTCCCGCCCCGCCCGCCTCCGCCCCAGTCCCTCGGCTCTGCGGCCACCCGGCACTAAGAGCAGCCCGGGCGGCGGCGCGAAGGTCCTCGCCATGTCTGCGGCCATGAGACAGAGGTTCGACCGGTTTCTGCAGGAGAAGAACTGCATGACCGACCTTTTGGCCAAGCTCGAGGGCAGGACCGGCGTGAACCGGAGATACATCGCGCTCGGTGGGTGCGCGGTCGCCGCCCGTGGCCGGGCCCCGGGAGCAGCTGCTGCACCAGCTGCTGGGGAAGCGAGCGGGAAGGGGATTCGGAGGAGATGGTGTTGGTGACAGATGGGGGCGAGCGGCATCGTCGGCACCGATCTGGCCGTCCCGGCAGGCCAGGGGCCGGAGACCCCGCCGGGGCGCCTGGGCTCGGGGGTGGGGGGAGCGCTGGCCGGTGTCCGGGGCGCGGGGAGGGCCGGCGCTGACGTGTCTGTGCCCGAGTCCCAGTGGCCGTGCGCAGGCTTGGCGCCGAGTGGAGGGGGCCTCCTGCGGGAGTGCGCGCGGCCACGGTCCTACCAGCCTGTCGATGGAGCTCAGCACGAAGAAGGGTGTCCCCCGGACGGGAGGGGCCGCGGGCGGGGGAGTCGGGGCCTCTCCAGATCCTCTGTGGAGCGGGGTTCCCTAGGCGGGTGAGCTGCACGGCGGGGGACCCCTGCGGGAGGGAGGGCGCGAAGGTAGGGGCTGCCGGGTATCCCCAGACAGACTGCAAAGCCGCGTAAAGGCCCGGGCCCAGCCTTAGGGCGGTTTGTTTTTCTCGATCGCCTGCACTAGGCCAAGCCTCGCGGTAGGGCGGGGGCTGTCCGGAGTCTCGCGTCTTGTGCCACCGGACCCACTTCTCTCCTCGTGTCTCCAGGTGTCATCGGGCTGTTGGCTTTGTACCTGGTGTTCGGTTATGGAGCCTCGCTCCTCTGCAACTTGATAGGATTTGGCTACCCAGCCTACGTCTCGTAAGTGGCTCCCCCCTGCAACCCTCCCTTCCTCCCCCTCCTTCCCCATACCCCATCCAGGGCTGCCCTAGTTAGTACACATCCTCATTTTCCTGGGAGAGCCGTCAGTGCGCCAGAGGGTAGAAAGTGCTTAAGGTTACACATTTTAGAGCCCTAATTTGATGCCTGATCTCCTGATGACTAGCCGAAATGCTTATTTCATCGGATTATGCTGGCGGGGCGGGTACCTTGTAATGCATGCACGGATGGAAAGTGCTACAACAAAGTCGTCCTGCCTTTACTGCTGGGGAGATCTCAGCTGGGTACAGAGAGCTGATCCCTTCTCCTTAATAATTATTTTAATGTGTATTTCACTTTATACTTAGTAAAACCCCATCAAATGAGACTTCCCTAATTCAGAATTACTGTTAATTCAGACACTGTGGAGAATTTTGCCGTCTTGATTTTGAAAAGACTAGCCACTTACTACAGTCAAATGGAAAACATTGACCCTAGTATAAAAACAAAAACAACCTTTTTTTTTTTTAAAGATTTTATTTATTTATTTGAGAGAGAGATAGCAACAGAGAGCAGGAGTGGGGAGGAGAGGGAGAAGCAGGCTCCCCACAGGGAGCCCAAAGGACGTGGGGGCTCCATCCCAGGACCCCGAGATCATGACCTTAGCCCAAGACAGACGCTTAACCAACTGAGCTACCCAGGTGCCCCCAAAAAACAACCTTAGAAGATGCATCCCTAATATAGCTCCCTGGTTATATAAATGACTCATTCATATAATTAAACTTAAAAATGAATCTTAGCAGAGTAGGATCTGAATTTATTACTATTTGAGGTTTTTACTCTACAGTACTTATTTTGAAAATATTCTACAATTTCGTGTTTTCGTTCATTCAAATCAGAATTCTTCACCACAAATGAATTGTTTTAGTCTGTAGCTCTACCCAAGAAAGCTGATGGGTTTTATTTTCATTGAATTGGTCTCTGCAACTTTTCTCACCCATAGAGATAAAGGAAGAAAAACTTTTCGGCTGGGAGGCTAACACACAGATAACACATTTATTACATCTTGTGTCTATTACAGGACAAGCTAGAATTTAGTATCTGACTAGAAAGGAGGAAACATGTTTTAGAAGTTAGTTCTGATTTGAACAATTAAATTGAAGTTACATACATAGTTACTGTATTCGTCTGGTGCAGACACTTAGAAGCACTCCACAAAGTCTGGCTACGTTAGGATACTACTTGCTTATGAATTTGGAGCTCCTGTCTGCATGTTGAGAAAAACATTTACCTTCTTCCAGCGTTACCTGCTAAAGTACCATCCAGGTTTCATGTGTATACCACAGAAGGGCAGACTAGGAAAACTGTTTGGCTTTCAGATCACTGAAAAAGGTACAAGAATAGCAGTTTCCCATAAAATGTAATCGACTGATAATACGGTATATATGAAAAGTTTGTAGGCAACACTGATTCAAAATGATTTGCACGACGTGTCTATGCTATCAGACAAAATAACATAAAAGTACATTACTTCTGGTTGTGTAGTCTACTTGCAAGAGTTCCTTTAATAAGAGTTTGGGGGGAAGAAAGTTGGAAGCATTATTCCAGTTTGTGCTTTAGAGGTTATTGATCCCATTTTGAACAAATCCTGGGTGGCACTTTAGTAACTGCCTAGCTGCTTGAATTATTTTGAGCCAGAAAGGAATATGGATTTTTGGAAATACTGAACAGCATAAAACCCTTTTCCACGTCAGTACCATTTGGCACATAATCCCATGCAAAACATAACCTTCTCTGTGGGTGTGATGAGGTCATTGGTGTGGGCTTTCCTAAAGTAAAAGTCTGTTTCTGGGATCTACATAGATTCAGGTGAGGGTGGAAGCAGATGTGACCGCAGACAGAACTTTAGTATGTTTCTCCTTGACCTGAAGTGGATTAATTCTAGCAGGAATCTCTTTTTTAGTCCTATTTTAAAGCAAGTCAATTTCAGTTTTTTTTGGTGTGTGTGTGTGTGTGTGTGTGTGTTTTAAATCATGTGTTTGTAGTCATTCTTTCATTCCCTGCATTGTCAACTGAATAGTATTGGCTCTTTTTACTTCCAAGAAGCTAAATGCTCTTGTCTATTGCTCGGAATTCTGTGAAATGATAGAGACGTTCATATTTCTAAGTGGGTCAGGCACGTGGGTTTTACATGTTTTAGATTTATTCTGTTCACCAAGTATATATACTTTCTTTTCTATTTGAATATTCTGAGGCAAAGTGACATTTGTAGTATACTATACTAGGAGCAGGAAAAGTGCTAAAAATCTAATAAAGGGAATTTAATGATTTCAGCAAAAATTCAGGAAATAATGAGTCATCTCTAGAGTGGTATTTTTTTATTTATTTTTTATTTTTTTAAAGATTTTATTTATTTATTTGACAGAGAGAGACACAGCGAGAGAGGGAACACAAGCAGGGGGAGTGGGAGAGGGAGAAGCAGGCTCCCCGCAGAGCAGGGAGCCCGATGCGGGACTCGATCCCAGGACCCTGGGATCATGACCTGAGCTGAAGGCAGTCGCTTAACCAACTGAGCCACCCAGGCGCCCCTCTAGAGTGGTATTTATTCATAGGATGCTTCCTTTTGGTAGACCCAACTCTTTCACCTTTAAATTAAAGATAACATTCTATGACCATAAGGGAATTAAGTGAAGGTTGTTCTCTGTGGATATTTGGACTTTTCCCTAAAACAATGGTTCTCAGCCTTGGATGCCCATCAGAGTTATTGGAAGGAACTTTGAAAAATCCTAATGCGTGGGCCCTACCTCCAGAGATTCTGGGGAATTGGTCTGGGGTGCAGCCTGGGCTCGGAGGTTTAAGGCTCCTTGATCTTTTACAGTCTGTAAAGGATTCTAATGTCCGCCCATGTTTTGAACCCCCGATGTAGAGCGGCAGCAGTAACGGGTGCTTGTTACGCTTGATGGGCTGAAAGGGAGGGGAACATGGCCTGCTGACCCTGGGACCCTACCTGACCTCTGCTTTGTCAAGGTGACATGGGATTGTGTGCATGGTATAAAGCATACAGACCCCCAGTGAGTAACATCACTGAGGCATCAGTGTTAAACATTCGTCTAATCAAATTTGTTCATTGCTTAACTAGTGTCATTGTGTGACTGGCAGAAAATCGTTGAAAATGGTGTTATTGGTGGCACCAGAATCCGTTACTTAAAATGTGATCTGTGATCCTCTTCCCTTTACTTGTTCTCTTGCCTCTTGTAACTCTCCCTGCGCCCCCAGCCAGAGTTCTCCCGAAAAATGCGAGTTCATCTATTTAGCAAGGATCAAATCCAGCCGCACTGCAGGCACGGTGGCAGCACTTCAGCTGCACCGTGGACTAAGGTGGACACGCTCTCCTTTCTCTTCAGTGAACCGTCTCCCGAGGTAAACCGCAATGAACAGTAGCGTAGTGGCCGGAGTGTGGTTAGGGAGCCCTGTGAGGAAAATGGACAGGGAATAACAGGGAGGACGCCCTCTGCATATTTATCTGAGGTCCTGTTTGAGTTAAGGCTTGGGGAATGAGAAGGTGCCAGGCCAGCCAAGAGCAGAGCCGGGCGGAGGAGCCGCGGGTGCCGAGAGCCGCTGCACTGGAAGCTCTGCGCCTGGACAGAGGTGAGGGGGACCGCGGAAGGTGCGGGTGGCGTGACGCAGGGCTCGCGGCCGGGGGACCAGTGTGCATTTATGCCAGGTGGTTGAAGGGAGTTTGCAGCTTGTCGGATTGTCTTGGCTGCGTTTTAAATAGGGGGTGACATGATACGATTTACATTTTGAGGTCATTGTGGCCACCCTGCCCAACTGTTGCCAGTCTCGGCCTTTCTCACCGTCCGCTCTGGCTCCTGCTGGTTCCCGTCCTCTCCCTCCGTCGCGGGGAGGCCCACACCACGTAATGGTCAGCACGGGGCTTAGAGGCCGCAGGGCACAGAAGGCAAATTTGGAGAAGCTCCCATGGCTTCCTTGCTTGTCTTATGACTCAGCCCCTGGGAAAACCGTGGGTGGGACCCCGGCGTACCTGGCTTCGGGTCAGGTTGTGGCGTGTTGGAATCCAGATGGCTGGAGGCCTGGCCCGCGCTCGTGGAGGGGCAGTTAGGGCCTGAGGAGGCCCCGTCTTCCTGCTGGCTACTCTTATTTTCGGGTACCTCATTTCCCTTCGGGAGCAGGGCCTTTAATCTTCTACCTCTACGTTTCCAGACTTTTTTGGCCACCCTGTACAGGGAGGCTGAAATCTAACTCCAGCCTTCTCAGTGTCAAGAGCTGTTGACAGAATTGCTGTCATCTCTTGACTTCTTCGCTCTGTTCCTGGGAAGAGAAGGCAGGCCACTGCATCGTGTGAGCCTCTGTTGTTAGAGTAGATCTACCCCCATGCCGCCGCATTTTTTTGCTGAGGTATAATTCACCCGCAACCTTTGTAAAGTGTACGTTCAGTGTTTGGTATATTCCTAAAGTTGTACATCCATCACCACTATCTAATTCCAACACATTTCCATCACCCCCCAAAAGAAACGATCCATTAGCAGTCACTCCCTCTTTGTCCTATGCCCCGGTCTCCAGAAACCACTTACTACTTTCTGTCTCTATGGATTGGCCTATTCTGGACAGTTCATATCTTTGGAATCCTAACATGGGGCCTTTTTTTTTTTTCCTGGTGCAGCCCTACTTCCAGGGGCATTGCACAAATAAGAGTCTTTCCGAGAGATGCCCCTGGAGCGCGTGCTCTGTGTGCCCTCATATGCAGAGGCTGTTGCCAGAGACCTAAGGCAGCCCCCACCAGGGTTCTCGAATGGGTGCCAGTCTTGTCCCTGCTTCTTTGGTCAAATGGAAGTATGAAAGCAAGTCTAATGACTTTCTTTTCTATTTTTATTTTTGCCCTGCAGAGAAAGGTAAGGAGGAGAGTTTGCTTTTTATCCTACTCAGTGACTTTTTAAAAAGTCTACAAAAACGTCTATTAATTTTTCTTTTGATTTCATATTTTTCACAAAGATCAGGCTACCACCTTCCTGGGACTACCAGAGTTGGGCCGTAGGGATCAAGCATGTAATCTAATTCCTTTAGTTTTCAAATGACCCAGGCACAGAGAGAGAGGTAGAGTGTGTTTCCCAAGGTCACCCAGAAGCCAAACGTGGTCTGGAACCTCAGTTACTACACAGGAATGTGAAAGCACAGTTAGGCGTATTTTAGATAGATTAAAAGATTAAATAGGAGTCCAGCATTTTGGTGACTACATTCAGTCTAATGTTTGGCAGCACTTTTGCAATCTCATGCCCACTTCAGTGATGTGTCATTTTATCTTCTGTGTCCTCACCAGCCCATTTTAAGCTGTGCCACCGGGACAGAGAAGGTTATTGCTTTTAGCAGTTTGCACAGCTGAATACCTGCATAGCACTTCATTTAATAGACACTTATATACCCCGTTAAGTACTTGCTTTACAAATATAGCTCATGTAATCCTCATGGCACCCCGCTGACGTAAGTACTATGATTGTTCCATTTTACAGATGAGGAAACAGAGGAAGAAATAACTTTTTTTTTAAAGATTTTTATTTATTTATTGAGAGAGATAGTGATAGAGAGCGAGCATGAGAGGCGGAGAGTCAGAGGGAGAAGCAGACCCCCCGCTGAGCAGGGAGCCTGATGCGGGACTCGATCCCGGGACTCCAGGATCATGACCTGAGCCGAAGGCAGTCGCTTAAACAACTGAGACACCCAGGCGCCCAGGAAGAAATAACTTGATCAGGTTCTCACAACTAGTAGATGGTAAAATGTATTTAAACCCAGGGAGCCTGCCTGCCTCAGTTGGTAGAGCATAAGACTGTTAATCTTGGGGGTTGTGAGTTCAAGCCCCAGATTGGGCATAGAGCTTATTTTTAAAATAAATAAATAGGGACACCTGGGTGGCTCTGTCGGTTAAGCGTCTGCCTTCAGCACAGGTCCTGATCCCAGGGTCCTGGGACCGAGCCCCATGTCGAGCCCCACATCGGGCTCTCTGCTCAGCAGGGAGTCTGCTTCTCCCTCTCCCTCTTCTTCTCCGTCTGTGATCTCTCTCGCTCTCTCTCAAATAAATAAAAAACTAAAGTAAATAAATAAATAAATAAGCCAACCAAACAACCCAGGGACTCTGGTTCCAAAGTCTGTGTTTTTTTCTGTTCCACTACGTTGTTCCGTGTGGCTCTTGGGCTATCTCAGATACACGCCATACACCAGGCAGAGATGAAAAGTGAACTGTTGATGTGAACTTCTTCTTTTCTCGATTTGACACTGTCAATACATTGTCTTCATGCAGTGTATTTTTCCTCTCAAGTAGGGTACTGCCCTCCCAAATCCTACATCTGCACATGCATAGGCATTCGCAGTGTTTTGTGAACATGAGTTAGAATGTATTACTAACAGGTTCTTTCGCTTGTTACAGAGCATTGATTTACAAGAGCAGTAGCATAACCAGCTATTTGCAGAGATTTGCTCTGTTTTCCCAGGGCAAGCCCATCTGAGGAAGACACCCGGAATTGGATTTCCTGAGGGAATGTGGCCTTGCCTTTAGTTCTGTATCAGGAGGCAAAGAATCTCAAGGAGAAGATGTTTGGGGATGACCCCTGTGAGGTCAGATCAGAAAGGGGACAGTGAGGGGGAAAATTCGGAAGAGACGCTGTCAAAATAACTACAAGAACTATAATACAATTAACCCCACGTAAAAGCCCCAGCATTTTCTTAGTTAATGATTCATAGCAGACAAAGTGCGGGAGCATAGGTTACAAAGGACTGAAATGTCATTTAAGATCTACAGTGGCAGACTCCTAACCGGAGGTTTGGGACCCAGAGGAGACTTTGAGAAAGTGGCCCTGGTGTGACTGGCATTTGGGTACCACTTTGTTTCAGCAAAGTCAGGCTTCCCTGATGGTGCTGGAGGATGTGTATTTGTGGTTTTCAGACTCATTCGTAAGGGGCGTGTTTGTTTTCGTGTGTGTGTGTGTGTGTGTGTGTGTGTTTCCAGAACGTGTAATTATGGGGTTTTTTGGTCCTTTTTTATTGATGAGAATTTGGGAGTAGATCTATTTCCTACTAAGCTGAGTATGTTCCTGTTACGCTAGTTTTCCCTCGGCAGCCGGGAGCTCTGTGCTGGGGTGCTCAGGAGTAGGGCAGTGCAGCCCACACGGACTTCACTGGGGGGTGTGCAGCACATGCGACATTCTGGCTGACTCTGCACTTGGACCAGGAACTGGCATCCTGTAAATTTTGCCTCGAACATCCTGAAATCTTAGACATTTAAACATTTTACTTTTGTCGGCTTTTTATCGGTTGCGTTTTCACTTAGGATTACTGCTAATAGTGCTAAACTATTTTAAGATGGAATTGTGGAGAAAACTAGAAAAAGGGATAAAAATGTCCTTATAACAGCATGTCACTATTTTTGTAGGTAATCACAGCCAGCATTCTGGTTAGTTTCCTCCCCCCCTCTCCCTTGCCTGTGCCATAGAGAAAAGAAAGTCTTGAGGAGCAAGTAAGATGAATGATTTAAACGACTTATTCATGATCTACTTTCTGGGCTCTAAAGGAGTTGTGGGGAGAGAGCCCATTCCTAATACTCTGTTCTAGAATGTTCCGTATGGATTTTAATGATTTTTTTTTTTTTTCCTGTTCATGAGGGCCCTGGAGATGTAGTTTATCTGTCCTTTTGCCTTCATCCACCCCATCTGGGACTTCTCTTTTTCAGGACTGACTTTAAATGAGTATTCCTCATCTCTTATGGTATTTCCAACAACTAGAAATACATATGGAGCATTTTAAGGTAATTTGTGGCTGTTGACAGCATTACCAGTGAGTTAATATAGAAGCTGAGAAACAGTTTCAAAAATTGTTCATGAAATGGCTTTTTTGGTAGCAATTGAAGTAAAAGTGGGGGCTGTAGAAACCTCTTCTGACTTTACTCTGTCACTCGCACACTCTCTGGTTCCTGGGAGTAGAGCTTATCAGCGCCTCTCAGTCACACGGCCACTATATATATCCTGCACTTCTGGTAGTTAGACCAGGTGATCTGGTGAAGGGGTGACTTACACGTCTGAGGTAACTCGAGGCTGCTACCTGCCTGTCTTGATGTGGCTTTCTTTTGCTTGGGAAACGTCAGTTTAGATGGTTCTTGTCCAGGCTGTGAAGGTACTTGAGCTTAAGTTAAACTTTATGATATATTTACAGAACCATCAATTTTATCAACAAAGGTTGTTCCAGTAGGATTCGCATCTGCTGTTTTATTGCTTTAGGCATACATTTTTTTTAAACTATCAAATAGTTGAAGGCATTCAGTTTTGAGTTATAAAATGTTAGAGGTGCCTGGGTGGCTCAGTCGGTCAGGCATGTGACTCTTGATCTCAGCTCAGGTCTTAATCTCGGGATCGTGGGTTCAGGCCCTGTGTTGGGCTCCACACTGGGTGTGGAGCCTCTTAAAAAAAAAAGTTATCTAGTTTAGGTCCTAGAGATCAAGCTGCTGGGGTGAGAGCTGCCTTTTACGGATTTGGAAACTAAGGCCACAAACAAGTTACTGGACCAGGGTCATGGGTTTGTGGGGGGCAAAGCCAGGCGTAGGTGTAGGGACGCCTGAATTCTCTGGCCTGCACACTTCAACATTCCTCATGTTTTATATTTGTGACTGAATTTTTCATTTTGCATTAAAAAACAAAACGGTGGGGGCGCCTGGGTGGCTCAGTCGTTAAGCGTCTGCCTTCGGCTCAGGTCATGATCCCAGGGTCCTGGGATCGAGCCCCGCATCGGGCTTCCTGCTCCGCGGGAAGCCTGCTTCTCCTTCTCCCACTCCCCCTGCTTGTGTTCCCTCTCTCGCTGTGTCTCTGTCTGTCAAATAAATAATAAAATCTTTAAAACAAACAAACAAACAAAAAAAAACGGTGGACAGTTGGTTAAAAAAAGATCATTATAATTAAACATCAAAATGTTTGACTACTGAATGATGGTTTTTGTTTTAATATTCGGTCCCATTAGAGATGTTTCATATTTTATAGACTCATCTTAAAGTGTATTTGCCTGTGAATTTAGCTTATTTATGTATTTCACTAAGTTGGTCATTTTATATAGGGGAACACCATATTAAAGAGTAAAGGAGCATTTTTTTTTTTTTTTTTTACTGTTCTTGTATAGTCACCTTAGAAGATACTTTCTATGTATTTAGGAGGCATATCTAGCTAGCTGTCTCATATCTTTTTCTTTCTTTTCCTTTTTTTCTTTCTTTTTTGAATAGGAGAGAAGGGCTGGGCACGATATAAATGGTAAATAAGCAAATTGCTTTTATTGTATGGGCAGGATCCTCTCTCTTGCTTTGAGAGCACAACTGCTCTGCCGTGAAAAGCAAGTGGAACTTTGCGTCCCCATAGCTTCTTACCTTCCTTTTTTCCATGAAGAAGAAAAATCTTTTCTTTATCAGCATGGAAACAAACTAGTGTTTACGTCTTAAAATATGTCATTCTTTTCCCTTCTAATTTGATGCACTATATGAGTCAAATAAGATTCACAGTGACATTCTTCTAAACCAATAAAGGTTGAAGAAAGTATAGGTAATAAAGAATAGGAAAACCATTTTGAGCTCTCAGGAATTCCTATATCACACTCTCTGATAAATACAGCGGAAGTAGTCCTGTGCATAGTGGGTGCTGTGGATGGTCATGCTACGTGTCTGTCATATCAAAAAAAGGATTATAGACATTATAGTCTGTATTCTTCATATTCAAGCTTCAAATAATCTCTCCTGAAATCTGGAATATTTGCTATTAAATATGATTTACCACATTCAAAATAAAACAAAGCAAATTGATCCCAGGCAGATTTCTTTCTGTTCTTTACCAGCGGCGTATCTCAAAGCTGTTTGTTTATTGTTATAGGGTTT